ATGTATTTGCGTATGTTAATCATTCTGAAAACTCTGTTGGAAATTTTAGTTTTAGACTTACAGTCAAAATTCCTTTGGAACAAAAATTTCCCTTGTATATTGGGAAATTCGAATAACGACTCAAAACAATTTGCGAATAAGCGATGAGTTTCATAACATGTTTATTTCGCTTTCGGAATACTTTAAAACTCATCGCTTTATTCTTAGGTTGGTTCTCAAATTGTTTTGTGTCGTAGTCGTATATATACGAATTTCCCAATATACAAGAAGAGATATTTTTTCCACGGAAGGAAATTTGAGTGAAAGTCTTAAACTAAAATTTCCAACTGAGTTTCCAGAATGCTTAACATACGCAAATACATTTGATAAAATTTTTGGATTTCTCAAAGCCATCAGATAAAGTCCAGGTCGAAGTATGTCGGTTACTTATTTACATTGAACGGTAACTCAATATTTGCCATAATAGGGGTGGTTTCAATAATATTGGCGCCTTGCCGTCTCTTGCGATGTTATCGTACAATACTCTTTGTCTTTACCCTGAATCTAATGATGATTTTATTATCTGCACAACGGTTATTCACATTGTAGGCCTGTCTATGTCTGGCTACTAACACGGGACATAAGTAAAGTGACAAAAAAAATTTAATAACGATATTGGTCTCCAAGTTATAATCCTTTTTTTCCCCTGGATTTTGTAGAGTAATGTGATTACCGCCATATTCATAAACTGAGAGATTTTCTCATATTTTGCGCAAACACTGAATACTCTATACGTCTATAGAAAACAAAAGTTTAAAAGTTGGCCACGCAAAGTTTGAAAACATTTTTGTGAGTCTATCTAGACCTGGGGCTTCATCCAGCGTCGTGAATTTGAAAGCCACAATTATTTATTCTACAGATCTTTTTTGATATAAAATTGTCTTATTCAACTCCAAATTAAATGTTCTAAAATCTAAATTATATAACAAATTTATTGGATGAGTAATTCAAATTTTGCATCTCCCTTTACATTGAAAAAGGCTTTTGCTCTTTTATCCTTTAAATCTGCAGCAATTCTTCCATTTTGAGTTTTCGAAGGTTTGAATTGTTTCAATTTGTACCTTCATGTTTCTGAATTCAGGAAGTATTTTGGTGGCCCTTCAACTTTTTCTAATCATTTAGTCTTCGATCTCACAATTTAACCCTGCAGTTTGCTTTTACCAATAACATAAAGAACTTATCAGTTGCAACAAATTCTGTTTACATTCTGTACAATTATGACGTTTTATTGTATATTGGTGAGCATTCTCATACTTGTTTTTCGAATTCTATTCTTCTCCCATTCTTTTCTATGCGCAACTTATCCCCTCGCATATGAATTGTTTTTAAAGTCGTTGGTGATACCAATTTTTTATTCTTGTATCTGCGAATAACCCATCAAAGTATTTTTGTTGACTTTCAACCTTCTAATCAAAAATCTGTTTTCCTTCAATAATATTTGGGCATTGTTCATCGACATTTTTCGGCTCGGCCTGTTTCATAAAATTTGTTATTTGAAAAATTGTTTTGGTCTTCGCGTTCATATATTTAGGTTAAGACATTGCTTCATTGTATTTCTATTGCATTGTGGCGTATTCTACACATAGCAAGTCTGGGCTTGGAATATTAAGTCCTGTAGGAGCCAAGGAAAGTTTGAAAGTCTCCTTTCATATCTGAGAACAGTACCAAATGACCACACAGAAGAACAAGAGAGCTATGCTCAAATATATGGACACGTGGCGCCACATAGTGGCCAATTTTTGATGACGTCCAGCACACAAAAAACGAATTCCATGCAGCTCACCGGAATATTTGAAATGAATAAAAGTAATAGCCTTCTAGAAAAAAATTTAATATTAATCAATGAAAATTTCAAAGCAATTGGTCCGGTAATTGAAGAGAAAGGCGATATTTTTCATAACGATACCAAGAAGAATATAAACAAGAAGAAAAAAAAGAGTGCCAGCATAAAATGCAAAACGATCGTTATCGTTGCTTATTAATAATAACAGTTCCCCAACAATCAAGTTGCTAAAACTTGGCTAATGTTTATATTTGAACCTTGGGTGTCGCTGCTTGATAACCAGCTTTGGTTCCCCGCAGCTTCCCCTCCCCAGTGAAATGTGTATTTAATATTATTCGTCATAATTTGCATGTTTATCAAGTTGCTAAAACTTGACTAATGTTTATTTGGATATTTGAACCTTGGGTATCGCTGCTTGATAACCAGCTTTGGTTCCCCGCGGCTTCCCTTCCCTAGTGAAATGTGTATTTACTATTATTTATCCGTCTTAATTTTGCATGATTACCATTTTTACTGGATGGAAAAAATAAACTTGACTATGATTATGTTATGTCCACTAACGTGTCCAATAATTTAGCAAAATTATTGTTATTCATTGATTCACTTCATCTCCCTTGGCCGATACCGGCAAGAGCGGCCTGCTCTTTGTATCATCCCAAACTCCGAGTGACTACCGGTATAAAGGACTTGCACGGGTCACGTGATTTCGTTTTCAGTTATATTCCACTGTTTCCAAAAGATCCGGAACGTCGCGCAATGTGGATATCATCTATTGGCAGAACTGCTTGGTGTCAAGTCCAGAAGTCATCTCGCTTGTGTTTCACTGTTTGCGAACAGCAATTCGTTGACGGGTAGTGATAATGTGCCGTTAACAATTTCTTTTAATATTCATAAGCTCCCTCATTTCAATGGAAAGCAGATGACAAAATACTGTTATTGGTAGGCTAGGCGTAGGCCTACTTGCTTGTCTACTTGCAGGCTTCAGATCCATTTTGTTGTCTATCTATACTATACTGACAGACAACGGAACAATACGAAATAACCATTTCAACAGCCAAACAAAACGGAAACCTATGGACCTTTCCCCGACCTTTGAACCCCGAAAAATTCTTTCTATACTTTACCATTGCAAAATTTTCGGGGCTATTTTAAGAGTGCTTTTGCGAGTTGGAGCCCGTGAAATGAGGGTATGTGTTTCAAACCATCATTATGATTCATCGCATACAACAATCTGTTTTTTAACAGTACCGTTAAAGAATTTTAGCCTAGTCTATCACAGCTATTTCTACACTAATTTTCATTACGACAATTAAATTAAAACTCCTAGGAAGACAGGGTGACCATTGAATTATCTGATTTACATTTAAGTTTTCATAACACAACTGAAAACTAACGAATGGAGTTACGACCACGCTTGAAAATCTGTCTGAGTGAGAAAAGTGTCTGAGCGGATGCGAAAAGTGAGCATTGTTACGTCACTTTTTGCAATTAGCTGATTGGCCAATGTCACGAAGTAAACAAGGAAGTCGATGCTTGGGGAAAGGTCCATAATTCGACTTGCAACTGAGTGAACTGACAGGAGCCAGCTGGACGTTTTTGTTTTTTTGCCGTCCAGTAAACAAAGTCACGTGACCCGTGCAAGTCCTGTATATCAGCCAGTCTCGTGTTGCCGCTTTTGATTTGGCGGCGCGTGTCACATTGTAGTACCATGGTTAAGTAGTACAGCAATAGAAGTAGACTAGTGTGGTGGTGTCTGATCCGAATGTTCACATGCAGACATAGGTGTACGTACAGACGTAGCTGAGCAGTTTTAATAAGCTTACTATTTGTTATTGAGACTAGTGGCGTTTCACACTGCAGCACTGGGTGATGATAATAAATAGGACTGTTCGAGCTCGTTTACAGATTTCAGGATTTATTAATTTGGTACTAGTATTCAATTTATCGATACCGGTACCGTATTTAAAAAAAAGTTTGTCTTTATGTAGGCTAGGCTATAAGGCAAAAAAAATTGTGAAACATTTTATGTAATATGTTTCCCCATTAAAAATATTGCACATACAGTGATACAGACATGTGATGTACGGGGGTCTTACTACGGTACCGTACTTACTGAATACAGCGCAAAAGAGCGCGAAACAGAGGAAAACAGCGCGAAACAGAAGGAAGCCAGCGCAAAACAGGAGACGCAGTCATTACCACCTCCTGCCACGAAAGAACCACGGCGCCTCTCGCCATGGTTTTATGGCGCTATTTCCGGTATATTTACAGAGTTACCGTATGTACCGTACCGGATTATAGGTCATCATGCGAAATTTTATCTACCTTTTTGGTGCTCCATAAGTATGTGCAGCAATATGTTGCACAACCTGAATCCGCCACACACACACATACTATTTTCAGGTTGTGCGCCATCTTGGTGCACATACTTCTGGAGGTCCCTTTTTACCTAACCCTAACCCTAAAGCCAACCATATCCATATGGAAAATGTTCTAAATTATGGTACCGTACCCAAAATGTGCCACCAGCAGGGGCAGACCTGCGATTACAGCATTACTGGCACATACGTTGGTTTGTGTTTTTAATTTGCTGCCGTGGTACTCCAACTCAAAACAAGATGCCCTGAACTCATTGCAAAAAATTTTTCTGCTTCACACTGTTTCCCTCTGTTTTGCGCTGTTTCCCCACTGTTTTGCGCTGTTTCCCCACTGTTTTGCCCTATTTCCCTCTGTTTTGCGCTCTTTGCGGTGTTTCGCGCTGTATTCAGTAAGTAGTAAGACCGGATGTACGGTACTGATATATGACAACCGCTGCCACAAAATTTTTATAGTTTGTAAAAATTTGCCTTGTTCGTCTTTTGATCAGCGTTTTCAAATCTTAAATTGATTTCATAGTTATTGCCCGATTTTGTAGTGTGCTTCAACTGTTTTGGTGGACAGCCACTTACTCTTACGTTTTATTTAAGGTTTTGCTTCCTCTCCAAAATTCTCCATTTTTAATTTGTGTAATTAGTGGAGTTTTTGAAATAAATTTATCTTATCTTATAACTCTTCGAGTTATGCTCGTCTTCCAATTTCTCTGCATTTTGTTTTGCGTTCAGTGTTGCTTTGTTTTATACCAGAGCAACCAAAATAAAATAATAATTGATTGATTGGACTTATTACTGTATTATCGTTATTCATTTTTAATGTTATGTTTGTTTTTAATAGATTGCGATAACGTATCTGATTGGCGTGGTAGTTGCAGCAGATAAAATATAGGAAATTTAGCTTGTACTTAGTTTTTCAATCAACTTTTCATTTCATTCGCAAGTTAGAAGATCACAATGTCGAGCGGGATCTCATTAAAAGAAATCCGAGATAAAGTAGAGGGAAATGAGATGGATCTCAGTCTAATGCAGATAACAAAAGTTCCTGTGAAAGAAATCTCGTCAATTGCTAAAGCGACATCAGTTGATTTATCTTGCAATCAAATCATCAGACTACCTGAAAATTTTTGTTCAACTTTGCACTATTTAATAAAACTTGACTTGAGCAAAAATCTACTTGAAGAATTACCTCATGACATTTACAAACTCTCTGCCCTTCAGCATTTGGATTTGTACGATAATAGATTGACGACGCTTCCTGTTGATATCTCCAGAATGAAAACATTGAAATATCTTGATCTGAAAGACAATCCTCTTGATCCCGTTTTAGTAAAGATTGTCGGCGGTTGTTTGGATGATAAAGAATGTAAAAAGTGTGCGACTCAAGTCATCGCTCATTTCAAAGTTCTGTCGTCCGACATGGAAAGAAAAAGACAAGAAGTATTGAAGAGGGATCGTGAAAAACAAGCGTTGGTAAAACAAGCAGAAGAGGAAGAAGAAAGGAAAAAGAACATTGAACGAAAAAAAGCGAAGAAGGTTGAAAAAGAAGCAAGGCGGAAGAGGTGGGAAGAAATACAGAGAGAAAAAGAAATAGAAACAAAGAAGCGCAAGAGGACAGATGAAAGCAGCAGTGAAAGTGAACGAGATTCTTCTGATGATAGAAAAAAAGATCTTAGCAAGTCAAAATCTTGGCTTCTTAGTTTTTGGGGAGTTCTTCTGATGTCCATTTTAGCTGTGTTTGCCTCTGCAATAGGAATTCGTTTATATTGCCAAGAAAATGAAGCAAATGAGGAATGCATATTGGTACGAGATTGGACAAATAATTATAAAGAGGCAACAAGGGAACATCTGGGTGCATTCGTACAAAATGCCAAACAAATTGTCAATTTTGGTTTAGCAAAGTTGTCAGGAGTTGCAAAAAATCTAGGGTACTGATCTTACGTAAGCGTGTTATCATGGGCATGCTTTGATCCATCTATCTCTAGAAGATTTATTGTTATTAAAAATAGCAAATCGTCAAATATTTGATGGCAAATTCTTTAATGGATAGTGCTTGAAGAGTTCAGAATTGCAAAAAAATGTAATTTATTATAAATTATATATTCATTAGGCATATTTATATATATAGCCTACATAAATATATATATATATTTTATATGTTGAAACCTGTCATATCTCTGCAGCAGTGCCAAATTACTTTCTTTATCTTCTGGTTAGGTTTTGTGTGTCGTTTTTTATACTTTACCAACAAAACAACATGTAGTAGCCTAGTAAAGTTTATAACCTATTGCTAGTTTGGTCGTCTTTATTGAAAAAAAATTTGGATTAATTCAGCGCACTGAAAGTGAATAGTATCTTTTTATGAATTAATGTGGTGGTGGTGTAAGTATAGCGTTGGTATGTTGTTTCATAGTTTGAGGTGCTTTATTGTTTTGCATTACATTTGTTCCAAGCAAAACCATTGTTATTAGGGCTTTATTGCATGTTCTGAATAGGATGTGAAAGTTGGAATTTACTTCGAGAACTACTCCAGACTCCTGCTGCACAGAATGTTTAGTCAACCAATTGCTATTCTAGTTTTTGTTGGAAACTAGATAACTGCTATCAGAAGCCTGAAATTTCTATTTTGGTTCCTACTCCTGGGAGTTTGAAAACATGACAAAATCAGAATGGCACAAACTGCACAGTACTGATTTTAACTGTAAATCACACTAGGCATTTCACATTAGAACAAAAATATCAAGATTGAACTACCTATTGTCTTCTATTCATTCTATTGTGGAAGTATGAAACTATAATGTGTATTATATTTGCTAACTGTACTTGTGATTAGGCAATTTTGTGTTCGATTTTTATTTTTTGAACCCAATATCAACAAAACAGTTGTTTATTATTTAAACTCAATGAGCAATTATTAAATTTTATTGAAATTCTAATATCATTTCAGAATCTTTCTAAACAAGGTTTTTCACATACAAATAATTTGGTAATATAATACTAAATCACATTCATAATTATAGAGATTATTTATATTGACTGGCTGTTGCAGTGTATTTAGGTCATAGTATCTACCAGTTATGCTATAAAACTCGATTCATCCCCATTATTCGGACATATCATTTTTTGCATGTTAGTATAAATATTTGCATTGTGTTTGTCTTTAATCTTATATTTGGTTATTTTAGTGCAATTATGTCTATTCCATTGATTTCTCATTTGACAGCCACTGCTTTAGTTCAAATTGCTTGCAAGTTCAATTAGTGCTTATTTTTGATGTTATTTCATGATATTTGTTATTATGGTGAGCTTAATTAGTATATAGAGATCCAGAAGTATATCTATATTTTAATGTTGCTATGTTGGGCCAGGTTATATTGGTTATTTCAAAGTGTAATGCTTTATAGGGTATATTATTGGTAATTGTGTGTGGCCATGCTCCCAATCAATGATATAATAATTATAATGAATTTTTACTAATCCGTATCATATGACATGTGTATTTGACTAGTGCAATTAAAAATTAAATCTTTTTTTTTCATTGCCAAAAGCTGGTGCTTTTCGATACCACAAAAAAGAAACAAATTTTGTCTCTTCCCAGTGCCACCAAATTTTCGTGTTCATGAAGAAAATAAAAATATTTTTTTGTTTTTTATTCTACTCAAATAAAACTGCCTAAATTGTCATCCACGATAGTTTTGTCTTTCTATTGAGCTTCAGTCTTTCTTTTCATTGTAACCTGGTCTAATTGTAGGATCATTAACCTGCATAAGTTTATAATAGTTTCGTGATATGTGATAAATTTATTACTTGTCATCAGAATTTGTATGAACATCTGTAGATATAAAACGTTAATTAACATAATAATGAGAATGGAAAACCTGGTTGAACTGGATCATACTTACAGCCATCATTGGTCAGAATCATATAAAACTAATCACAATCATGCAAAACCTATCCACTGGCTTTTATCATCCTGCAGACAAGGAAAACTAGCCAAGGGATCAAGGTGAGATTTTATTTCTCATTACTAATTCAGTTTCAAGAAAATAATTTTTTTTTATTTGGATTTGTTTCAAAAAATGAAATTTAAATATTTAAATTTATGATGAAAGGTTGTTGATTATCAGAATACCTCGCGTTTTTTTTTTTTAAATCAACGTTACTTTGAAAAATAAATTCTATGTACGTCTTTGGTGTTTATTTAATGCTGAGTGCCTAAAAATTTTCAATGTATTCCTATTGATTTTCAGACTGAGAAGTCAACATATGAATGCTTCAGCAAATAGTACAAGCACTGATGGATCAGATGATGAGGTTTGTAGAGTATTTATTGCATCCTGTAGATAAAATTATGAGATCGGTTCAAATTCCGAACACGAATTTCGGTTACTTGCACATGTACATGCCTATTTCCAAGCTTATGCCCAAAACTGGTCATTTTTTATTCAGTTGAAAATAGTTTTGATATCGATCAATTATCACAGAATCTCATTCCTAATTCTGATTGTGTTAAACTTGATAGCCTAGTACAGTGGTTCTCAAACTTTTTAAAAAAATTCCACGACAGACCCCTCACAATTTTTTTAATGATCTGCGGCCTTGTGCACTAAAATGAAACATTAAAAGATCACAACGAAAAGTCAGTGCGTTGTATGGTATAGTGAAAAACACATCTTCCCCACCTGCTCTTACCAACAAACGTGCCGAAAGGCAGCGTCAGCTACACCCCTGCAGTCAGTCGGCTTGTAATGGCATCAATTGAACTCTCTTTGTGATATCACAGGCCCACAGCTCTGTGACATCACAATGGTGCATCGGGTTCGAAACAGAAAGTGGGGAATCAGTGTCCCCAGCAGTGATTGCAATGGTGACAAATGTGTATTTGCAAATTTAAGCACTCAATATTTCTAATATCAAACTATATGCCATATAACAGATTTTTTTTGTGGACCCTCCGAATGTGCTTCACGGACCCCAAAAGATATTTTTGTCAAAAGATCCGCGGACCTCAGTTTGGGAACCACTGACATAGTACTTCAAACAGGAAAGCCCCAGATTCTGCTGGCCCACCCAGCTGAATGTTAGTAATATGCTCATTATACACCAATCACTGATTAGGTATTAATTTTGAGTCTCCTACTGCTGTTGAACATGTATTTCCATATTGCTACAGCTGCATTGTGGTTGCCATGTAATGGTCTTCCTTTGTCTTTAACTACTTCTTTCACCTACACCACCCATCCATTTTAATGAGTTTCCTCTATGCCAGGTTAGTTATGAAATTTTATTCTATGTGTGCCCATTTAATACAATTCCTAAATATCACTCTCTTCCTAATATAATATGCATTCCTCTGATCTGGTTTCACAGATTGATGTCGAATCATTAGATGAGGTGATGGAACCATATGTATCTGGAAGATCTTACGATGTTCATCGAGCAAAATTGAATATGAACGAGACTGAGAGATTCACAACTCACAATTTGCTGTCAGGAAAACTATCAGGGGCGAATATGAGATCTGATATTGACTGGGAAGAATATATAAATAAGTGAGATTTGAATACATAAAAATATATCTGGAATGATGTGTTTTAATGAGATATTTAGTTTTTATAGCTAATTCAGTGTTTACTGCTGCTGCCCACAACGGGTTATTGGGCGCACTGTCAATAAATTGCTGTACTGGTACAGGCGCTTCGACTTGATGAGTCACATTATCGATTTTCTTTTAAAAAAAAAATTTGAAGCGCACCTTATGGTGTGTAAAATAAGGTAGTATTATCTCTTTCTGAAATTACCATCTGTATATAATGACTAATGTGACTTGCTAAATTCAAAGGAGTCTACGAAATCTAACATTTTTGAGAGTAACAGAATCGATGGTTGTGCATCATGCTAAGCATTAGAATCATGCACCATCGCATCTCGGATTACAATGTGCGAATATGCCGGTTCAGCTCCTGTGGCTTATTATGTGCAAGAGGAATGCCGGATTTCTCCTTTTCGTAGCATGGTTTACATAACCATGCATGGTCACATCTCACATGATTGAGTGGTTTTATTTTTATTTTTCAAAGTCATCTCAAAGTTTCAAACCTAACTAAGGGTTTATAATTTCCAGAACATCTTGGAGTATGCAACAAACAAGACTTTATACAAAGGTTGTAAAATTATTAGAAGATGAAAAACTGGCGAGATTAGCATTCAAGGGGGTATGTAATTTACTTCTTGCATTTTGATAGAGTTCTATCATTTTTACACCCTTTCTATGTAGGTATGGACATTTAGGTTTAATAAAATTATATGGAAGTAAAGTAACAATAATAACTGCTATTACTTCCAAGAGTCCAAATAACTTGATTTCTTCAATTGAGTTTAGAAAAAAGTGTGATACTTATAATGAATTTTACACTGTAAATCACGGTCGATTGTACCTTACTACCATTTGTTGAGGGATGTCTCCTTCAGTAATAATTGTAGTGGTCGAATAGTGAATTTGATATTGACATCTTATTACCGGTAACTACAGCATCTGTTGCAGTGAAGTGATAGAAACAGGTGGTCAATGGTCATGCGTATTCTCGTATATTTTTTTTATTGCATGTTCCTATTATCAGGTGAATAATGAGCCGATTGCTAGGCGTCTCTCACTTGATCGTTCTGCTGCCTGCTTGAGAAGAATTTTGGCCGAGTTTTCATGGGAACAGAAACTTACTCAATGGCTTCATTACATTCTTATCAATAGATTACCAGCATCAATGTTGGCCTCTTATCTTGATCTTATTCAGACGTTACGATCGAAGGTATTTTCATTTTTTTTCGCTGAGCACCCTGTTTGCTCCAAACAAGGCAGCCTCTGATATTTCATGGTATGTATGGAGTTCCTATTATTGTCTGGAATGACCAGAATCTTTCTTGTTCGGCATTGCCTATCAGTTTATTACACCCTGGTGGGTAAGGTAACAATTTGCGGTGCCAACTCAGTTAATTCTAATCTCTGGGCCATCACGTCACCGAAAATTGGGCTCTATAGTGTTTTAAATTATGTATAAACACATTCAAAGTGAATGAATCAAAATACTGATAATTTCCAGAACTTGTTTTGAATTTCAATATCTCGTGTTTTTCACATTTCAAATGGGATAATTTCATACATATTATAATAAAGCAACAGTCTTCAGAAATTTTGATTTCACTCATGAAGGATCTAAATGGAAAGAATTTATTCTAATACACTTGTCTGTCATGAGCTACCTATCATCATAATGTCCTGTTAATAATAATGTTAGTAGATAAGTAGTAAAGATGAACAAGGTATTGATAACTTAACTACATCTTTATATCCAGTTTCAGTTTACACTTTACATTTACAGAAAAACTATTCTTCCTTGCCTAAATTTCATATGTGAGCATGGCTATTTGCACTCCGAAGGCTGTTAGAAAACTGCCTAAACAACTAGACCCAGTTTTATAGTGTTGATTACTGATTAGTAGTTTAGTACCATCGACTTTCAATTTCTTTCAACTTATCGGTTGTAATCATCTGCTGTTCATATTTGACAGGTTCCAACATTAGTTGAACGTATGATTGCTCAATCTGTAAATGACGCAGCAAATGGTTCCATGAACTGTTTAGAGATATTATTGAAAAGACCATGGGAACCAATGTTGCTGAAACACTCGCAAAATACAAAACAGGTGGGATAATTACTTTTCTTCCAGACTTCAATTAATATTTTCTAGGTGGTTACACCCCAAAATTAAAAAAAATAAAAATAAATTTTCTTTAGTTATGATTTTGTGGAAATGGGAGAATCGAAAATGGATTTTTGTGGTGAATTGTGACATAAGACTTTCATTATGACATATTGTATATACTCGCATATAATTCGATCAGAGTTATGCACGTATAAGCCGACCCCTTAGTTGGGAAACTTTGTTTACACCACTTATATGCTATATACGGTACATCTGGTTCTATTTTTTTGTGTTTTCGATATTCCAGAGATGTATTCCTTATGTGCAATGTGAGAAATCTTAAAAAAAGTGATAGAAACAGATGTGATATAACATAAATTTTTAAACTAAGGATACTTCAAAGTGGAATAAGTACGTTCTTCTTTCTTGAATAGCACACATAATTTGTTATGCCCTTTGTGGGACGGTTAGCTCAGAGTGACCACGACTTTTGTGAGAGACTTAATCATCACAGTTACATGCCGAGTACCTTGCCTATATATTCTGTAAAATAATAATAATAATTAGTCTTTTTTCATCAATATCCTAATTACATTTTATTGCTGCCTGATATTTATGAAAAACGTTCCAACTAATTTATTTAGTATGGTTTCGTTTATTAAAATATTGTTAGTTACTCTTTTTCGTTTTTTAGTTTTGTTAATTTTTATTTAATGCTATGTATATTTCAGAAATCATATGATTTACCGATTATATTGGTTGTTCCTAACTCACCATATGTTCCATCACCTACAATGTCACATCGAAAAAGATTCTGGAACTCTCATCTTGGACAAGTGGGAAAGGTAGGTTCAAATTTACTAATTTTGAAAGTAGGTGATCTGTTTTTATTTAAAAAAAACAACAACTAAGGTGCTCCCGAAGTATGCGAACCAAGATGGCGGACACCGGAACGTAACATGGGTAACAGGTTAGGGTTAGGCGATAATTTTTTTCCAATTTTCCCTATTTTAGTCTTATTATCAGTTTGAAGACTAGTCAAGAGCCTCCCGTAGTATTTATACCTAAAATTATGGCCTAACCCTAACCTAGTACACATATTACATTCCGATGTCCGCCATCTTGGTTCGCATACTTCGGGAGCCCCTAAACTAATTTATTTGTGTGCTAGTTATATTGGATATAAATAATGTTTGTGATCTTTGTGATTATATCGGTTTCAAGTCTCAGAAGAATATAATTAAATCTTTATCTTCTGATTAAAAGGAATATTGATTCTTGTGCGGTATCACTTAATCATAAAAATTTAAAAAACTTGTCTAATTCTTAAGATACAATTAGGCATTTGCAGTTTGATTGGAAAATAGGCCCCTTTAAACATTAAACCATATTCACCCCGATACAAATATTTCATTGGAGGATGGCAAATAAAGGGTTCAATTTCCTCCTGTATATATGGTTTACCTCAAAACAGCAAGCTTACATATCGCCATTGGTAACATATTAATAAATAAATTACTGAGAATGTCTGTTTAAAATTTATTAATTATCGTTATATATTAAAATAAAATATTGAGGAAATTGTTATCAAATCAATGCATGCTTTATTCGATATAATAATAGAATTAATATATTATAAATATAATAAAAATCAAATATTATATCATATTTGATTCGTAGTATGTACTCTTGTATTTCTCAGAATTTTATATTTACAAATTATGCATCCACTTTCCAATTCGGAAGATTCACTCAGGACTCCAAGGCTGTCATAACAAAATTTTTGGTTTAAAAATGAGTATTCAACAACTTATCACTCTCTGACTCTCTTTAGGTTGTGATGATTGCTGGACCAGAAAAAGTGAAAGACATGACCATACTTGCATATATAGAACAACTTTCTACAATTGTGCGAACAAGAATAAACTTATATCATACCAAGTATCCTGACAAACCTATTATCCTTGCTGGCTGGCATACTGCAACCATTTTAAACTGCCATGTTAGTTAGCTTCATTATTTTTTTTTAGTGGAGAATGGAAATCGAGACTTAATTTAAATAGATGGTGTTTATTTTGTTTCATATTTGAATTGATTTTAGACTATTTGTTTGATTTTTGTAATCCTTGATTTTAGGAATGATTTAGAATAGTTTCCATTGACATTTGACAGTCCATACTATCTATGAGCAATTAAAATTAACCATTGAATTTCTGAAAGTGTTTAAGAAAAAATCGGAAGAATTCATTAAATATCTGGAAGTGGTTAAAAAAATCGAAAACAATTGTCTGAAATCGAAAATAAATCAAATCGCTGTTGCCATTTTCCTACATCACCAAAATCGATCTTGATGAATATATATTGACTTTTAGAATATTTACCAGTCTAAAATATATTATACATTCAATATTGAAAATAATATATTTGCGATGATAGATTATTCAACTTTTGCCATTTTTGGTTTAATCTTGATTAATTATATTACAATTTCTGTTAAGTCTTGTTTTAATTTTCCAGATTGCATTGGTTGAAAAATTATCTGCCATAATATGTTTTGGATTTCCAATGCAGACTTTGAATGGATCACGAGGAGTAAGTTATTATCACATTTTATTCATAACAAAATGTTGTACAGTTTTAGTTAAATATAATGTAAACTGCGAATCAATTTCCCCGGCCTCTATAAATCTATTATTCTTTTATCTTAGAAGTTTGCTTTTTTGTGTGAAAGGTTGATTTACTTAGTTAGTTTTACCAGTGGTTACCTCTCAGGGTAAGGATAGGTTAGGTAAGCAGATTCGAAAATTCAAAGCATAAATCAACCAACTACTTCACATTCCTGCACTTTCAAAGTTTCATCTTATTATATCACTATGAAGTCCTCGCAAGAGTTTGGTATGTTTTTATTGATGTTGCAGTCGCGATCAGATTTTTAAACTGCCCTGAGTCAAAATTTTGAATTCTTCGGCGTCAGATTCTTAGAATTTTAATTGTTCATAATTTATATTCAGAGTTAAATTTTGAGACAGAAACTCAAAAAGCATTAATTTGATTAATCATTCTCAAACAATTAATGAAATCTTAGATATGCCTAAATTATTGTTATGAAAATTTATTTTTCTTGGAGCTGGAGTCTGGGTCAAGGTTTTTCTCGACCTGGATTTGAACCACAGGCTATAATCGGAAGAAATTCATTGTTCAATGGGTTTCGAGTTCTTCAGTATGAATTTTCTCTCACCTTCACAGCCCTGATAGTAATATAAGATGATGTTGCATCATGTTGAAACACCTGCTTTATTCAATCATTTTAATTTTATTTTGTTGATTATTACCTACACATTTTCAGACAGTGGATGATGTTTTTTGCGATTTAAATACTCCAATATTATTCGTTGTTGGCGAGGAAGCTGACTCATGTGATATTGATCAAATTGAAGATTTTCGTGAGAAACTACTCACTCATTGTCAGAGTAATTTACTCGCTGTACCTGGTGCTGATGACGCATTGAGGGTTTCAGATAAAGTCAAGAAGACTGCATGTGTTACACAGACAATGGTCGATAAGTATGTTGAATATTGCTGAATGCTAATGTCTATGTTCTCTGCTAAAGTCAAGATCTAAGTTTGTACTCTTCAGTTCAATCTGAAACTATTTCTTGTGCAAGCTACGTACAGCCAATTTTATTGTACGTGATTGTTACGGGGTAAGAAGTATACTGATACTCCGGTAGTCGAAAATAATTCGACTAGGGATTTGCTTAGGTACTAAAACTTTTTTTTGCCATAAGAAACAATGGTAATCATTTTAGTTTGTTCTTACGCATTCCAAAATACCCAAAATATTAACAAAACCACAGTATTTTTTTCACTACTGGTAGATTTGTTTGGTCAACTACTGAGTAGTGTTCTAGTATCGAGTCGTTCGACTACCAGGGCATCACTGTAATAACAGTTTCTCTGCCAAGTGTTAGGAACACACTTTCCATCACACCTCTGGTAACCTGCTTATGTTCAGAGGTTCGAATGATGATGAGGGGAAAATTATACCAGAGATGATTGCTGTCATAGAGTTCACTTTATTGCTGGCCAGTGGCGTCATACTTCATTATTTGAAATGAAACTTGTTAACTATTTCCATACCTGACATGGATTTGTATTAGGCCGTCCCATTGTCCTTCCTCACTTCTGTGAATTCTATTTCTTTATTGCTGTAAACCATAGCTAAAAATTTTCAGTAAAATGGTTTGTAAACTTAGGAAATAATGCCAACTCATTTGACCAACTGAATATTTTGGGTCACCAGTACTTAGTAGCTACAAACCGTCAAGAAATTTGTTGAGTGATTGAACCAAGCCAAATTCTCAGCCGACAAAACAATTCATGTTGCATTAAAAACTGAGGAGATTTTGATCTGTGGATTTGTCTCTAAACAGTTGTTTTTATTATTCAAATTCAGGATGATACTACACTACATTGAAGACTTTTTGTCAGATACCTTGATAAAGAATGAAGTTGAGACATGGACGATTACAGAATCAAGTTTAAGTGAAGTGAGTTTTCTTGTATTGTATTGTGTTGCATTGATGTTACAATATTGGTAATTTCTATAATCTATTTTAAACCACGCCATGGTATAAAAAATCATGATACACAATACAATTCAAAACATGAAAAATAACAGTAATGCCAATCTCACCTTGTGACATAGGCGTTTGGTTGAGAAGAGCTAGTTTTCATTAAAAAGGTGGGTGCTTTGGGTAACCATGAGGGTGAGGGGACTTCAATCATCTCCCCGTCATTCTAAGTCAAATTTTTTTTTTCCTGCTTGCTTGGATTGAGCTCATAGCAATAGTCTGTAATTACCCTTATTTAACACCAAGATATAATTTAATTTCATAATTTTTTCAATTATTCTTTGTAATTTAATTTAAATATTTCATATTTTCAGAATTTCTATCAAAGACAAAGATCAGAAGGTTCGCATTTTATTTTATTTTATGCATGTATTTTGTTTATTGACTACGGTATGTCTCATTATTTTATGTGACAAGTCTAGTGACGGACATTTATGTTGTTATTCTGTTTTTTTACGACCTTTTTATGCCTTCACTTTGGAAACAAGGCTTTGTACAGGCATACATAGAAGAAGCTGCTACTTTTTGTGATGATCAGGAACCAAAATAATAATAATAAAGTGAAATTCAATTATACAGTACAGTTGAAATTAAAAAAATATGTGCTTGCATATTGTCTCACAAAAGATCGAATTTTGACGCTATTCCAGGGATGGGGAGTTTTGATACTGGTTCCAAATATTTCAAATTCGATCGATATTTTAATTTAACATAAGTTAGTACAGAAAAATATTTAACCGTGACCCCCAGTCATTTCTCGACCCACTTGGGGGTTGAAATCTGAGATCTTTGACCTGTGATACCAACGTAGTTAATTCTACATCAACCGTGTCAAACTAAATAAACACAAATGCTGTAAAAACATTCAGGTAAAAGAAAACGGGATTATAAAGATAATAATTTGTCGGAAATAAAACGCAGAAGGCTTTCATCATCGACAACTGCAAAAATATCTGAAATTCTCTCCGGTCAATCATCAGCGAAAGGAAAACATGGTAATTTTTTGTCTTAATACTTTATTTTGTTACAGATGTATCCCTCATGTAGTAACTAGGTAAGTCAAACCCAAGGTTTTATCCTGCATGCAATCATAGTTAGTTCAATGCTTCTAACCGTGAGGCCACCACACTCACGGAATGCTGATTACAGCTTCGTTCTCTGCTGAATAGAGATGAAATTATTATTAAACTTATTATGTGAAATGAGGTTCTTGTCTTTCGTTGCAAGAATTTCCTTCACTTTATTAACAATATCAGTATTGACCACCTAAAGATCTAACTATCATGAAAAAATTGTGTGTTAATAATAATCTAATAGGACCTCATGAAGTATGCGCACCAAGATGGCGCACAACCTGAAACCAGGTTGTGTACCCGGTCAGGGTTCAGGTTATGCGACATCTTGGTGCGCATACTTCGGGAGTACCATCTAATATATGTATAACGACTGTTAATAATATTCGGCATACTTTAGGTACCAAGACCCCAGTTCAAGGAGTTACCTTCAATCTACAAACTGGATCGATGAGTGGTCTTGCAACAGTTCCAACAGTGCTAGGAAGGTCACTTTCAAAAAACAATGATTCTTTAACGAATATGGGATCAAAACTTGGAAAAGTTTCGCAGAAAAACAAAAATCAACAGAGAAGCATCACTATTGATTTAACTAAGGTGTGAAGATGCTCAAGTTTCTTTGTTTCAATTCTTTAATAAAGTTATAGTAATTTCATGTTGCAACATATATTGCTTCAAATCAGAGGTTCTAAACCCCTTTGCAAATTTCAAAAAATAGAGTTATCTCCCAAATTTTTTGATATTTTTATTTCTACAAATATTTTCAATGAGTCCTGGGGAAGAATGGATTTCGGGAGAACGAATTTCAGTACAGAATTGTGAGTGTAGATGTCTAAAATTGATTCTGTTTTGTTGAAACCACAAAATCATGCAACAATTTTAATTTTTCTGTAAATAGGTAGCAAGTAGACAATTAGAATCTGTAGTTAAAATATGAACACATTTCCAAATATTGTAATGCCAAGGCCAACCTTGTTACAATCTCCTACGGGCTCAACAGTCACATTTGATTATGTAATGAAAGGTGGGGATTCCTGTATTGAGGAAATGTGGGCATTATTTTTCGTCAGAAATTTATCTCTCGGGTTAATTTAAACCATGGTTTGATGCCCAAACTTCTTCGTTTTGGTCTTCTGTGACAATATATCTGAGCATTGCTATCTTGTTTTTTTTTTTTTTATAATAATTTGTCATTTCTTTGACAGGATGACACATCACAGAGAGTAAAATCTAGAAAGATCGGAACAACTCCAGATCCGTCACTATTGGCAACAGAAAGTCAAACAGAAGCAGCTGTTGCTACCATATTAGGTGGAAGTTTTTCAGAGGTTCGTTACCATCTTGTTTGAATGATAATGCAACATTAGTCTTATTTATGGAAAGGGATAATCTAACAATTTGCCATTGTTAAGAGCTATCTTCTACGCTTTCTTTTGATCAGAAAAACGTTGTTTTTGTTGCTCATTTTTGTAATCTTGAAGACTTTTATTTGTGTTCAACAAAAAAAATGGATTTTTCTCGACAATCTGATTAAGTTGAACTGAATTGTAGAATAAAATATTAGAATGCGCTGCTGTTGCACTTTAATATAGATTGACGTACAATATCCTTAGTAATGTTAATTTCTTAATTAGGAGACCATTCTTTATACATACTTATTACTACTTATGCCGTTTGCTTTGAACATGGCCATGCACAAGCAGCCACTGATATGTAAGGAGCTACTACTTTTGGAAAAAAAACGATATCTTTCCAGTTCGGCATTGCCTACGCAATTTACTGCACCCTGGGTGAGGTGATCACAGCATTTGAACCCAAGACTTGTATATTGCAATGCCAACACAGTCAAGTCCAACGCTGTAACTGTTAGTTCATCGTGCTCATGAAATTTGATATGAACAATCATAGTGTTTCGTTATGTTTTCTTGGTTTTATATATTTTTTTTCTGATTATTCTACAGCCAAAGGTACCAGTATCATCTGTTCCTGCCTCCAGCCAGACATCAATCAATACAGGTATATTTTTCAATTGTTGTTCACTATGAACTAAAACAGAGGTGTTCAGGGTTTTTGGATCAGGGGCCAAAAATGTTGCCCATCGGGACTGGCGGGCCATGGTCTAAGGTTGCACAACAATATTTACAGTGTTACAAAATCAAAAGTAGAAAACAATAAGCCTCGTGGCAAAACTAAACCTAAATCCAATCTCAACAAATTCTTGAGCTAATTTTTTAGCCAAAACATTTAAAAATTGGTTTTAGTTTGGTTGTGGCAGCATCAGGCGGGCCAGATTGAATTACTCAACGGGCTGGATTTGTCCCAAAGGCTGTAATTTGCCCATGTCAGAACTAAAATATAAACAGTATGCTATTTTGATATATGAGGTCTTTGTCACTGCAACTTTATTTTCTTTCAAGTTTATGCTGAATTGGTGACAATGACTTAATTGTAATTAGTGTCACTACATCATCTGAGGCACTAAACTCGTTAGCTTCATTCTAAAAATTCAGATCTTTGAAGAGAAATGTAGGCCTACTTTTGTAAAAATAAATCATATCGTGACAAACAGCAAAGTATTTAAGATTGTTGTGATACTTCCGATCACTCTTCAGTAGAATCTGTATTAAGAAATATGACTTTTTATTTCTTTTTTGCTTCAGATACTTCAACAATTTCTACAGCTAATTCTTCTGATCTCGCAGGGTAAGACATTTGCTACTAAATATTCCCATAGCCGACATGGAATCGTAACCATATATGTGGCTATGACGCCCTGTGTGATTTGGTTAAAATGATATAGGTATAATGAAAATGAAGCTAATACAAAACACTGTTCGCCGGCTTTCATTTCCACAAGGATAAGTATGAAAATTTCATCCCATTTTCAAATTTTTATGTGTTACTGGAATGAGCATTGTTTTTCTCAAACCAATTTTTATTCATTTATTCAGTATGCCTGAATCACAGGGTAACATAACAAGATAATAAATCAGGGGTGGCTAAAACCAAATAGTTTCATATTTTGAATACATTGTGAAATAATCTTTTTGAATATGAAATATTCTTAAATGGGTCTGTTCCACAAGAGAAATTTTTCAGTATAATTTGTAGAAATCAAATTAGGTTATGCAGAAAAATTGAAATAAAAATTGTTTCAATTGGTATTTTTTATTTTATTCTGTCAGGAGTTAACTAATTTTCTTTCTGTTGTAAGTAACCTTTCTCAATTTGTTTAGGTCACACACAGGTAACGTTTCCACTGCTGCTGTAACAACATTGCCAACAATTTCGAATACCACAACATCGTTAGCAACAGCTGGTGAGAATTCAATAATAGCGTATGGTAGTGGAATTATTAAGCTTGAATTTTTTTGTTAAATCACTTTCTGCGAATATGTAATTTCATTGTTGTTACGTAACTATAGGAAGTGCTTCGAATTGAACTTATTAAGATTTCTCATGCACAACAATAAAAACCCATTGAACATATTTTTTTCAGGTTTCCAACAAACAGCCAGACTGAAGTCAGCTTATTCAAATGTCAGATTCAACAGCACTGTCTTACCAAAACAACCAGCTGATATAAGTATGCATAAATATGTTTTTAAATGTTTATTTCTGCCAGAAATTTACAAAACGAACCGGATCGATTCAAAATTAATTATATTTGGTATCTTTATTGTTTGCCTTTTAGAATATTTTCAATTCCGAATCTAGTAAATGTAGACCAGGGGTCGGCAACGTACGACCTGCAGGCCGGATTTGGCCAGCGGAGTAATGGAGTTTCGCTCACGACGCTTCGCTGAATTCTAGTAACAAAACAGCTGTGTTGACGAATATATTGCGTAACAGAATTTATTGTGAGACACTTGTAGACTAAATTATATTATTATTAACAAGTATAAAATTCACAAATACTCGTTTAATGAGCCTATAATCTAGTTATAATTATACAAATGGCAACAAAACGCAGAAAAGTTGATGCTGAGTGCAAAGGGTTCAATGGCGCCAAAAATATTCAAATGAAATTTTTCGAGATGCAATGCAATGAGACGACGCTTCGCTGAATTCTAGTAACAAAACAGCTGTTTTGACGAATATATTGCGTAACAGAATTTATTGTGAGACACGTGTAGACTAAATTATATTATTATTAACAAGTATAAAATTCACAAATACTCGTTTAATGAGCCTATAATCTAATTATAATTATACAAATGGCAACAAAACGCAGAAAAGTTGATGCTAAGTGCAAAGGGTTCAATGGCGCCAAAAATATTCAAATGGAATTTTTTGAGATGCAATGCATCGAGGAAATAAATTTATATTCTATTCAAGAATTGTATCACTGCTTGATTTTTATTATAAAAAGTATCATCCGTTCGGTTTTCAACTTTCTGAAAATATGTTCGGCCTGTCAATGACATGCAACCATCAATTTTGGCCCGCGAGCGACAAAAGGTTGCCGACCCCTGATGTAGACAATCAATGAAATCATTGATTATTTTAGCTTCCCTGCATTTTCAAACTCATTGAATGGACATTGAAATATGGATTTTCTTCATCATTTCACAATGTGTTTGAATAGTTTATTAGTCGGTTTTGGCTGTCACTGACCTCAATGATATGTTTCGACGTCTCTCAAGTTTATATCTTGCCCCTACTATGTTTATGTACATACAATCAATAGTCAGTTTTTTATACACGAAATGGACTTATGATCACTATGTTGTTATTGTTGGTATTGGTATTTTCCTTCTTGATTTAAAAAATTGCTTCTCTTCTCAACTGCTGGACCAGTTGCTTTGAAATTTTCAATGGTTAAATATTGTTGTTGTCGCTAGAGGGATATTACTTATTTGTTTCTAAATTTCCAATGAGATCTAGTATTTTATCCCAAATTTCGCTCTTTAATTTTTATTTATGGTAACACAGTTCTGCGGAACAAATATCCCTGTTCGACAATGCCAAACTTAACTTTGCTAATATAAAACTATTTCTCATATACTAAGGATCTATTTTTTATCATAGTTGGACAATCAGCAGCCAGTCAAAAACAATGGAGTGGAATTTCAAGTACAAATATTGCAACTCCTAATCCTGGTGTAAGCAAGACTGGATTGTATAAGAAATATCCATATTTAGCCTCCCATACTCCTGTTTCCTCAGCAACACAACAATCTCACATTGCGTCAAGAAGTAGAAAAGATGAACGAGAAACAATGCAGGTATTCAGTTGCTGTAAAAATACTAATGAAATTGGTCGATGTTACTTTTACAAAATTCTAATGATCGAAATATAACTTTGGTATATAAAATACTATTATATGGCTCACATTGCTAGGTTAACTCTATCTAATCCAAAATGGGTGTTCTCTATTACATATATAGAAAATTATTTAAAAGGCTGAAAAAGCTTCACAAACTTGCTGAAGAATTTAATTTTCTAAAACGACGCCTCATAACACAAACTCAGTAGAAATCTAATACAGACCAATATTTTTGTTCTAGGCTACTGCGTTTTTGGAACAGCTGACAAGCGGAGATGATGTTCATCAGTCATCTTCTTCAATCTTAAGTAAGTTTAATATAAATTTAATCATTGGCTAAATAACATCCGTAACTCTACATTGTTTTTACAATTAATTGTGTTATATTTGGATTGTCGATTTCACCACTGTTTTAAATTTAAGGAATTCTGAATTAATCGCAGGAAAATATTTGTATTTCTATATTACACAAATGTAGGAAGATCTCAATAAAAACGAAATTGACCAATATTTGATTACAAATTTAAACTAGACTACACTGTCGGATTTTGAATATTTTTTAAACGAAAATAGTCTATTTTTATTCCGAGGTCGGCTGTGGAGTTATCTATCATCAAGTTCAAGCATCTGAAAATAAGTAACTGGTTAGCTATTCCTATACATTATCATGATAACCAAACAAGAGGCCATGGTTCGACACATGTTTAAATCATTTTATCGTCTTTCCGTCGGAATAAATATGAAAATCATGTCCTGTCCCATCGAGAATTGTTACTCTCTGAAGCAATGGCTGCTAACCTGTTTATACTTATCATTTGATATTTCGCTAAGAGCTAACATATAATTATTTTCCAATCAATGCACAACATATTATAAGAGTTGATTTACGCGTTATCATCGCGTGAAAATTTCTTATTTTCGCTGTTGATATCAAATCTCATCTCATAATCCCATAAAATGGCACTGGTTGCCGGCCTGTCCCTTTTGTAATGAGCTTTACCCATTGCTATACAGCTGTTGCAAGAAAACCTTCAATAGTCACTTATGAAAATATTTAAAAGCATGTGCATACGAAAGTATGTTTTGACAAGACCAAACCGAAGTGAATTTGCACGAATGTGGAGGATTTTTCATAATTATCTCATGGGTGAGGGAAGCCGATATGACGTCCTGATCATACGACGATCCACGGTCTCTCGTCCGATTACCAGTTCATGTCGAGTATGGGATTTGTTAACCCGTTACTTGTTTTAGGTGTATGGACTCGATGGTCGAGGAAGTCCTAGCCGACACGTGATCTACCCTAGTAATACTTTCCCGCACAATTATCCCACATAGCCACATTTGATTCGAACCTGCGAGTTCGCGCAGACTTATCGGGGGTGCGATGGCACGCTTATTCCTGACACTGGCATAATGCGCCAGCCATGGTCGCCGATGTAAAGAAGATCGGTAGTACACAAAGCATTCATTGCATTCCTTTTCTATACACAGAATTTGAGATAGAAATGGAATATTCTGTTCTGGATTATCTCTAATACTTTTTTTTATCTAAATATGAATTTACTTAAAATAAGGCCACTCTCGCACAGGAGTAAAGAAGGCTGGTTATGTCTCTGCGGTGTGGCGCATCGTGCTATGCGTTAGGAAAACGCTCTCCACTGAGCCTATAATTAGCCTGCATGGGTTCGCAAATTCGAATCTTATGTACGAAGATTGCTAGACTCCTTGTCGCCGTAGTGTGGTTCACATAACCGCTGGTCGGTTACTGCTCCCTCTAACATCCAGTGCATGCATCTACAAGCAAATGACAGGCTTACTCGTGGACTGGTTTCCGGGCGAGAGGCCGTTGTTCTTCATATGATTGAGCCGCCTTATCGACTTTCCTCTTCACTGGGTAAATATGTGAATCCTATCACTGGCAACTACGGGATTGCCAAGAGCTGAAAATATATAAAATGATGACGGTGCATTGCTCGTTAGTTAAGTACCGATTGACGCGACTCCCAAGTCGTTAGGGCCTGTATCGTAACCTTTTATTTCAATTTTTACAATGATTGATGATACGACCTCCCGTGTTGTCAAATCTTGTTTCTCCCGTTTAAATCTAATATTACATTGAAAATGTGGTTAATAATCTGATTACAGATTATCGCACAGCTAATGCGGGCTTATCTGACCGTAATTTTACTTACATTTCGGTCACAAGAAGGTCACTGACAATCGTTATACTTCGAAAATGATAATGTGAATTTTTGAATACTTACAAACTCGTCATTGCGACTACGTCAAGGAGGCGCTATGGGAACGTTATTATTTGTATTATATTTTTATGATGTATTTCAGCTCCAAGGAGGTCTTGTTGCAACATTGTTGCATTACATTCGTTTTGAACTTTTCCCCGAGATTATCGCCTGAATGTGAACTGCGAACGTTCCCGCGGGAGTTTTGAGAAATTCTTTTCAGTTCGGCGCGGACAAAATATTTTCGATATTGTGCAATACCATGTTTTCGACCTTTTATGGTTTGATCTAATTAACCGGTCGTCTTGCAACCTTTTGATCTTGAACTTCTACAATATATAAATGCAATTGGTGACTTATGGAACGTGAAATGTTATTGTTCGAAAATGGGAGCCTTAAATTATTCGAACTCTAATTCAGAAAGGATTCTTTAAATAGATTTTCGATACGGCTTTATTATGAGTTAGGATCTTAACTTATGCGTTTCACCAAATGGATTCTTTGTCCGCAGTTGCAAAAAAAATCATTTAAATCTGTTCACATTACTGCTAAGCTTTACTATATTGATGATCGCTATTTAAAAAAATAAGTCATTTTAAAGGTATTTCAAACTCACAGAGAAACAAAACTGGTAAATTTCCACTAATTGCGTTGACGAAATATTGGAATTTATGACGCTGTTCGGAATGTACTGTTTCCGATCAAGGCACGTACAAGCTAATTCAATCTGCTACGATTATTGTCGTTTTCCTTTTTTCAGCCATACCCAATTTGTGGGTAGGGCTGGGCATTTCGAATCGAAAAGTTAATTATTCGAATCGGTTCAGACGGGAATATCGAATCGCCGCCATCTTGTTTTTTTGTCCGGGCCCCCAGGTCGAGGTGGATCCCTCATTTTTTTTATTGGAGCCATATTTTTAAAATGCACTTCTGACATTCTTTTCTTACGAGTGAGGTATTGATGAAACATTTTCTTATTGTGTGTCAACGTCTAAGTGATAGATTGGTGTCTGAAGGACTCATTACAATAAAAACAGTCAATACGACTACATATCGTCCAATTATTCGAAATTTGATTCGAAAAAAAAATCGATTAGATTCTGAAATCATCAAATATTCGAAAATGTCCAGCCCTATTTGTTGGTATTGTTTATCCGCTTTGCTCACCAATAATTTACCATGAAATGCTGTTAAATTGAATGTATAATTATCACAGTGTGTACGTGATATCCATCACTACTCTCCAATTGTTGATGTAATGCGTCATTTTAAATTATAACTTTGTACTTGGGCATATTTATAGGTATAGAAGATTTCCAAACTGATTATCGGCTATTTTTAGCAACACGAGAAAGAATTTTCCGCCGTTCTAGGAAAGACAAATCCTATCTAATTAATGATCTTCACAGTCAAAACAATTTTTCTGGAATGTTGAATTATCGTCAGCCATAATTATGTTTTCAGATTAGTGTTGCCAGATTTTTGATTACCCAACAAATAACGTATATTTTCTAATTGGATTAAGGGACAAACGAATTCCGTACTGTTGTGTTTTGTAAAAAATACAAGAATTTATGCTTAATATTGATAAAAATATTTTATAGAGAGCGTTCAAGTTCAAATAATTTGATATTTAGAAGACAGCCGATCAGTTTTAAAACATGTATACCAATTAAGTTGTTCTTGAAGATCAAATCGGGGATCGGCGGTATCTCCAGTTAGTTATTTTCACTGCAGTTAAATAGGCGAACGCTTCTTTTTCTGTCGCTTCGATATTGAAGCACTAGTTCTACAGATGCATACCGGCCACCTTCCTTGGGGTGTAATAAATTAAGCAAAAGCTAATGGTAAAGATTCCGCTCTTTCCGAAAATAGTAGCCCTTACGTATCGTTAGATATCAGTTAATGCTTGTTAGGAACAGAAGGCGTGAGAAAGCGTCGTATAACTATAATAAGCACTCAATAGATGAGATAACCGACAAACGAACATTTTGCTGATTAGGTATGTCGTTAATTCCGTGTTTACGCGCGTCACCAATTTTCACGTTGAAGTTGATAACGACGTGACTCGCTGCGTGGTAAATAATGAGAGAAGACCATTTACCCTATCGGGTGTAGTAAAAACCATCCAATAATTGTTTCGTTGTTATTTAATCGTGAGAGATATTTTTCGCCCGTATCGCTAGGAAAACTTCACGATTTGGCTAAGAATCCGACGAACACGCAAACGACCTGCGTCTTTATGAACGTAGCTTTTCATCTAAGGAATGATAGCAGCGATTATTTACCCAAACTTAACGACGTGCGAAAGGGTCATGCTGGAATTGTGTCAACTATATAATTTGGCTTGCATTAAAAGATATTTAATACGTTATAAACATCGTTCCATCTTTTAGCCCTGCTAAATCAATATCGAATCGTGAATTTTTTTTTCAAATTATCTGTCATTTAATTTTTCATATGCTAATCAAATATTTTCAAATTTTGTTAAATTTAATTTTTTTATTCCTTCAGGCGGACTCGCCGAAACAATGTCTTCTCGTCGTCACAGTTATGATTCAACACATCTACTGGATCGCAATCTTGCTGGAAGCGGACGGGGCCGTGTTCGAACACGCGGCGGATCTTCTCAGGGTGCTAATCCGAGAGTGGTACCTGCTAAACGCCGAAAAACGATTAACGAAGAACGTCCTAATCCGACAACGTATTACCAACAGAAAGTGAGACCACAGAGTCAGCTGGTGAAACAAGAATCTTACGTTAGGTACTGTGACCTTTATTTTCTTGCAAATTTACCATTAATTATCGTTGTTGAATAATAGTCAGTTAATTATAATGTTTTCGTCTCTGATGCCGGTATATCTATCTTCAATGATTGCATGTGAAACCGTGGTTATTGCTTTGTCCTTGTCTGAACAATAGGAGTTATTAGAGCTCTTGGACTGAATACTTTGGGTTTTAGGGCTGAGCTCAATTGGTAATCATGAAGGAATTCCTGCCAATGGAGGATTTTGCCGTTTCGTGGGAGGATTCTTGCTTTTTATTCGCTGTAATATTAATAATATTCATTAGTTTTATTATTACTATTATTATAATATTTATCCATATAACACATGATAAACTACTTAAACTGTACAAAAACGGGAGAGCGTTGCGCATAGCTATTGTTGAAGGATTGAAAGATTGAACAATAGAGTAGATTTATTCCAAGGGAGGAAGAATAAATGGTTTCAAAATAGACAAAGGGTAGAATTCAACAAAAATAGTTGGGAACCAGTTTCATACCCTATCAAAAAGCACGAACATCGTTATGATTCTTTAGGATTATGTTAATCATAAACCATGTTTGCCGCAATTATCACGGTTCTAATCCCAAGCTGCAGTTACTTCTTTCGGACAGGCTAATTCACTTTATACTCTTAGCAGTAGCCAACCCCTTTATATGTTCTTGACTGAATCCCAGTTTTTGTACATATCCAAGTTTAACCGAGTTGATTAATATTTTTCATGACGCAGGTACGTGATGACGCCAGACATGAGTACGATGTTGAGTAACGCAGCCGCAAAAGCTGCTGCATCCAGTAATATCAGAGGTTTTACAAAGCCTGCTACAGCGAAGCAAGTGACACTATTACCGGACAGCAAGCCGAAGCCTCACGTAGCGTCGATAACAACGACAAAACCAGCGTTGTTACCAGTTTACACTTTTCACCAGCCTCATTCCAGTATTACTGTCTGTAAGTTTGAAGTTTCGTTTTAGCCAATTGCGCTAACTTTTTAAACCTCAACCATGCAGAGCCTTAACTGAATGCCTGTAAACACCGAACAAAATGTCTCAAATACTAATTAATTTGCTTTCAGCTCCAAGAATACAACATCTTGCTCAATCAACAAAAACTACCAAAGTTACAGGAGTTACTCAGTCGAAGCCATCGGGAGTCTTATCACAGGTACCACAATAATTTGCAGAAATATGTAGTAATAATTCCCTTAAAAATAATGTTGCGTCGCCCTTACCTTGTATGCGATAAAGTCCATATTATTGAACAATTGTTTCATGTGAAAGCTCTTGTTAGCCTGTGGTTCACAACATTTCCTATACTTCCTACAGATTTGGACTCACACTATTTGGGCGGAATGTTCCATATGTTTACTTACAAAATTCGTGACTAAATGACTCAATAGGTTGTGAAGGTGCTGTGACGGATTTAACGTTTTATCCCTTTCTAGATTTCAGAAATGAAGAAATCGCCAAAAGTATTCCTCAGTCAGCGAGTGCCGGTGAAGTTTCCTGGAGCAGCGCCCGGGTCTAGCTATACATTTGTCACTATTCCTGCTCTCGTAGGCACACCCGTTCTCCAAGCTGGACACAAAACATCTCAAACCTCTGTAAGAAGGGTTAGCACAAGTCTGCCACCGAAGCAAACAGCCACCAAAGTCGTCGAAAAATCTGTGAAATACACTGTTTTACCGAAAAGTGAGATTGATATCTCACCATCACCAAATACGTCGCCAACTGTCAGCGCAAATACTCGTCTCAAAGCTTCTGTATCACTGAGAGAAAAGGCTTTAGCGAGAGGACCCGACACGACCAAGCTTTCTGCGTCCAACACGACGCCGAGTCCCAAAGTTACATCTTCGATTCCTGTATTCGCTTCGCCATCTGTGGTGCTGCAAAAACTCTCTACCGACACAGTCACAGATCTCGACAAGGACTCGAAGCCGAAAAAATGAATTTGTAGTTGAACAATATGACAATAATAATATTGTTGAAATGTTAAAACGCCATACCAAACTTAAGTTTTCAGCCTTGTGATCTGCGTCAGGCCCGAAATCTTTCTTGATTTTAAGTATCACCAGACGAAATTGCAATACTATTCAAAAGCGTAATCAAGGCTTATGATTCCTAATTCAAGTAAAACTTGTTAGGTGTTGTTTTTGCCAGTTTCTTCTCTGTTTACTTCTCTCATTTATACTGCCAGAAAGAGTACACAGTGTTTGATATTTTTTTGTTGTACTGGATGACTTACTGTATCTACCAAAGGTTCAGATTTATTCGCAGACGACAGATAGATTCTGGGATGTTGCGTAACGGATAAAATATACCCGATCGAGAAAATGCCATATTATCTGTTTTGCAATGTTTGTGCTACATGATTATATCCTCAAATTCAGATTGTTTTAATTAAACAAACATAGTACATGGGTCCCCAAAGTTGTGTGCATTTCGACTTTTCAATGAGTACATTGATGTTAATAATTTGAAGGCCTTAGTTCAGCAAATCTCCACCTCGGTAGTTGAAGCTTTGACAAAAACTACAGTAAATACCGAGGGTACATCTGCACTGTTGTTCGTTGGCAATTTTTCCAAGTGTATTCAATCAAGTGACAGTATATGAACACGCTTCAAGAAGATTTTCACGAAAGACGTTAATGGAGAGGACGCTTGATGGACGTAGTCCAAGGGTTTGAATGATATTTTGGCTTTATTATACTTGTGAATAGTATGGGAAAGTTTTAAATGTTGCGAAATGGTAGAATTTGATATTTTTCAATTTATTCGTTAAGGGAAAAAATATGACAAGCGAGTTTACGACTAAGTTGCGGATCCGGAGGATTAATTTCTGGAGAAATAGGGGTTTTAACGTACCAGAGCATTCGATGCCCAACAACTTCCTTTCCCCACAAACGCAAAAGTAGTGATAAAAGTCAGTATTTCGGAGCTTATATACTCGTTTTTGTGTCGATTCCCAGAATAGCCTTTCCCTTGTTGGTATTGACTGGTTGAATTAAGAACTTCATGTAATGCCCATGCTCCAGGTTAGTATTATCACAGATCAAACTCAAACAAAAATATTTCTACTGTTTAGTTTTTTTCAACAGAATTTAATTTCCCATGCAAAATGATCGCTAAGAATTAATTTCCGGTAAATTAAAATTATTTTCGACGATCGTAACGAGAAAATTATTAGATCAAAAATAGCTCACGGCTCTAAATAAAAATATTATTCGAAGATTAATGGTTTCGAAATATATCAAATAATTTTCGCTAAGCTGGTTCACGGTGAACTTTATTGACGGAATTAGATCGGATTACAGAGATTCTGTTGATGGTAAATATATTTATCTTGATTAAAGTTGCTATTAAAATCCTGAATTTTTAGTCCATCTTAAGTTCACCGTAACGTACGAACTATGTTTACTGGATTATTTTATATATAATAGTTAAACTTCGAAGATTATCAAGTCCGCGTGAAATCGTAGGCATTGTGATTATATTTGTAATTGCAGCTTGCCGAATCAAGCCCACTGTCTATATGGCACCCCGAAATCCCCCTACGGAGGAGGACCTTCAAAAGCGATGCGGACATTCACTCTTGCCTTTACCGACTGAATTGTGCAGCAGTATATATATATATATTTATGTGAGAAGCGTAGAAATTTATTTCTTAACGCGAACTAGCACTTTAATAACATACGCAATAAAACATCGAATTCTAAGTTTTAAAACAGTTACCCATTTTGGAGGTAGGTTACCAACCTTAAACTCACATTTAGAATAGCGGAATTACTTTCGTACCCTTGTCTTTTGATCTTACGCTAATGTCGAGTTCAAACTCCTTACTTATTATGTCACTTCATTTTGTGGTGATTACCTCATTAATTGCGCCATATCTCATAATGTTTTGAAACAATGGCCCAGGAATTTCATAATGTCTATTTTCACATAAACTTTGCAGAAAATTGTAAAATCTCCTCACTTTTTTCTGCATTTCTATTTGTACTGTGTTGCGCAACTTTAATCAATAGATTCCCGCACGCATATATGTTACAATCGTTCGATTTGCTATATTATGCCGTTAATGAATGATTGACAAATTTCGGTAAATCAACCACTTTTGTCAAACATCGGTGCTTCTGGCAACATTAATTTTGTACCACATCGCTGGGTCGTGAGAAGGCCACGGTATCAGATATTTATTTTAGAATTGATAGAATTTTTCTCAACAGTCTGATCAGATAAATAGTTCACGTCTATCGACGCTAATGTCCCCCGACCTTCCCATGGAACCCGGAATCTCAAAATTCTCAGAAATAATTGTTGTTGACATGCATTTTCATATTTGAAATTGAGGTTATGACATATTATAAAAGGAGTTCCAGTTTCATATTTCAATTTATATCTCTCATTTTATATATTGATATGAATTTTTCATCTCAAAATAGTTTATCGACAAATGACAGCAAAAACAGAGCCAAGATCATTTCAACGATAAAATCGACATCTATGGCACGAAATGTTTTTTCAAATTTGAAAATTTTGATCTAACCTTTGAGAAGCAAAATATACATATATATATATACGAATATATACCATCATTATATGATGTATAATATCAAATCTCAACATATCTAGATTTATCGAGAGAAAACTTCACAACCTAAGAAAGCTATGTATGTGAAAAACTGTGGTAAAATAACCTCTTTGGGCAACTTTTCAGTAAACTCTATCTTCAACTTTTGACTCGTGTTCATTTCTCTGTATTTAATATTCTTCGCCGATCTTATCGAAAGAAATATTGTTACCTGCATCAAACTTAAAAACTGAAACTACCTGAAGAATAACAGTAAACAAAGTGGCTAACAATATGAAAATTATTACCGGTTTACTTACTATGAGACATAAAATACAAATATTGTCGATATAGCTGCCCAGACCTGGACTGTTTTAACAACATGTAAATTGGGTCCGAATTTTTTATTGTGTTATGCGGGTATGAGTAAAACTTTGAACATCACTTATCTTCCAAACTCATATTCTGTGATATGAAAATTATTGGAAATTAATCGATGTCAGGTAAATGGGTTGGAATTTATAGTTTCGCTCTCCAGTCAATTGCAGGAGGTCCACGGAGAACTAACTCGGGATGCAATAAAAAAAAACGTTCTGCGCGAAGATCAACTAAGTTTAAAAGCTAGCATAATACAGTTATGCGGAAATACACACTGGCTCTAAATATTAACATTTTTGTTATAGCACCAGTCATTCTGAAATATAATTAGGGGTGAAATATTGATAATATGTTTTGTCGATCAGAACCATATCTCATATTTTATTATTATTAAAAGGTCTACGAATACCAGTTTGTGTGATAACAGCTTGGTTGTTTGCACGAGTACGATTATATTTTTTATCCATTTTTTTAAGTTTGGTTTCTCCGGAACAGGTGGTATCCGACGGGACAGGAGTCAAGAAGTTCACGGCATAGTTCATTTTTTGGTAGCCGATGATAAAACGCTATTTAAAACGATTCGATCATCTTTCCTTATAACTAGTAAGCAATCTGTCTATGCACTATAAGGTTAGCCACAGTTAAGTGGTATCACAATGACAGCTGCACTTTCGATGAACCTAAATCACGAGCCGATAGGCAACTTTTCGATTTATGTGTGTGTGGTCCGCCATTTGCCACGCTTTTTATCCGAGAGATAGCTTCGACAACGATAAGCCATATCTTTTTTAATAATGCAATATTTGTTGGATATTTTAAATGTAATCAGGGTTAGGGTTTTGATATATTTTTTTACAAGGAGCATGCACCTGATAATAATTTAATATCAGAATTTTTGTGACACAGAAACGGCAACAATATAACGAATGTATGTCGTCGCAGTTTTTTTAAACTGTTTGTCGTCGTAGTTTTTTTAAACTGTTTGTGTGCCTTGTTAATGAATTAAACATAAACTTGAGTACGGAAGAAGAATGAATCTTTTGCAATTGGTTTATGGTTTGTCAGTGACACTGATCACTTTGTCCAAAATATGTTAAATATTTCTTCCGGAAATTATATTTTGTTTCGTGATTGCGTGCTACAACGGCCAAAAGTCGCTTGATCGTCGATGTGATTATCGGTGTTCCGATATTACGAAGAAAATGGCATCGGATTCTTCTATAAAATACAATGTGTTATATTAATATTTGTTGAAAGATTTTACACTTTTACTGAAATCGCATTATCAGATGAGCAGTTTTTACTTTTACTGAAAAATAGGTTTCAACGATTAAAATTACCAATATACGTGGCAAATACACAACCAATACAAGATGCGAAGTATGCTAATTATCATTCATCCGCATACAATACTTTGCATACTTCTGTTAAAACAATAAACTTAGTATGGAACGATTTCATATATATACATAATTCGTACTTATATGTTGAATTTGGAATTGTCGCAGAGATGACATTGAGCTAGATTCCGAGTAGTATCAGCAACAATATTATTAGGATTGTAAATCTTTGAAAGTGAAAAATTCGTCTGTATGGCATGATGAATTTTCACAGTATAAAAAGCCGTCACCATAAAGTCACAAAAAAGTACAACCGTTTTAGCTCTCTATGAGTGAATTATATCATTAACCAAAAATGGCGGCCGCATTTCTGAATAAAATTCAAATTACACGAAATAAATGAAACCGCTAGGTTCAAACCAAGTTCAACGCCAATCTTTTCTTTGAAATTCATCGATGACTTAAACTTGAACTAACCGCGTCGACAGTATCAAATTGACATGTCGAGTGGATTTATTTAGATATTGTGGTTAAACATTGATCACGATGACTACAATCACGAAACCAAACTTTCCGCAAATTTTAAATTGTTCCGATTCGCTAATCCCGCCCAAATCCGGTCAAATGTTACCACAGTCTGAAATAATAATACTGGAACAAATGCTTGGAACTAAGACGAACATTGTATTTAATTCTAATCCCGTGTTTGACCTGAGTTATCACTGTGACGAGGACAATGATTGTGTTCGCGAAAGGGCACGATCTTTTGAAACATACATATTGAATGTCATCTGAATGCTGCTTTTTTTCGCAGAGACGAAATGATAAAAATCATACGTTCCTCAAAATGTAATTAATTGTCAAATCAAAATTCAGATAAAACTTGTTTTTTCCTTGTTTTTCAAGTATCTGAAATGCGGTTTCTGAAATTTTGTATTGAATAAAGTTTATGAAAGGACACGACCTTTTTGTTTACATTCTTTACTTCACAAAGCATTCGAAGAAATATAAAAACGATCGAAATACAGAAATAATTAGTGTTTTATTCAAACACAACGATAAACAAATAAATGATTACATTCGGGCGTAGCATATTGTTATTAAATTACTCATCGTGATTAAAACAAGACCAAGTATTTGAAAAGTATTCTGACATTTAAAAAAAGGCAGATAAAATTGTCGTGTTCACGTTCAATTACGACCAAAATGCGCAGTTACTGGGGTTTTCGTAAGTTGCCAAATATAATTAAATTCCGATGAATTTAGGCAC